CTCACTAGGTGTGTGCGCGCACGTGTGCAAAATCCCAAGAGGAGAATGGAGGAGAAGGGACTGTGGTATGGCCACAGGGGGTGATTTCTCACTTCCTGTCTCACTGTCTCTCTGTCTCTCTGGTAAATATACTGCCCTATGGCAGAAAAAAAGAGTGAAGTGTGCACAACTGTCACCATCCTGTCCCAACCCACGACCCTGACAGGGACACATTCTGTTTAACACACTGCAACCTCCACAGCTCGACGCCAACAAACGGTGGTTGTAGCCGGAGGCACGTGGACCGGCCCTGAAGTGCGGGCACAGCTAGTCAGCCGGAGTGGCGTCCTGGGGGCAGAGAAGGGCGGATGTGTGAGTTGCCTGCTCCTGCAGCACTTACCACCTCAAGTCACACACGGGGCGGGGCGGACACTGCCAGTTCCTACTGTGTTGACGCACACATTCTCTCAAGAATGGAGCAAAGGACACCTGTACCAAGATTTTTGCATTTAATATAGGACATTTTAATAAAAAAACCTTGAAAAAAATGATTCTGCCCGTCAAAAGAGAAAATCTCACAGGTACGTTTCTAACTAAATTCTAAACAAACTCCGGCTGCACTGTAAATGGTGTTGACTTCGGTTCATTTAGGAAATGTACTACTTTACAGGTGCGTACGAGTGGCTGCCCAGCCAAGCACTGTACTGGCTGGTAAATGTCTCCTGACCTAAATAAAACTTTGCTACCACAGTGTCATGAATTTTGTTATCATTGCTATTTTCAGCTTTGAAAATTATCTTCAAAATGATGCAACTAAAACACAGATACACGTCCATTGTAAAATTAATGAATTAATTATTTCAAACAACAGAGCTGTAAGATTCATGTGATGTGTTTCCCTTCATCATAGCTCTCTCTCTCTCTCTCTCTCTTTTTTTTTGGTAGAGAATTTTTGTTATAGGGCGCGTGTGCTTGCCAGAGAGACAGAGACAGAGAGACAGAAAGTGAGAAATCACCCACCGGGGGGATGGCCATGCCGCAATCCCTTCTCCTCTTTTCTCCTCTCGGGATCTTGGACACACGCACACATGCGCCCGGCATGAGTTTAAGCCACTGGGTCTGGGACTCGAACCACGGTCGGCTACATGGGAGGTCAGCGACATAGCCATTACGCGAACTGCTGGTCCCCTTTGCTCTCATTTTTTAAAGTTTTTTTCCTTCCCAATTTGTGATAGAGAACACAGACATGAATGCATGCATGGGGTTGGGGGGACCCTCGGCAGGGTCTCATCACGCCAGGGTCCACTTCCCCGCCCTCCTGCTCTTCCGGGCCCAGAGCACACCTGCCTGCTCCCGCATGCTTGCAGGCTGACCTGGAGGTCTGAGCCACAGCCGCCATCTGGCTTCCAGCACTGCAGTTCGCTTTGCTCCCAGTTGTCCCCACCAGGCTGGGTTATTACTGCTCTCGGTTTTGTTCTTCCAGAGGTAGTGAGAAAGAACCCTGAGTTCTGGGTAGCAGCTAGAATAAACTCAGCAAGTGGAAGAGTCCCCACACGGATTTCCTGACCCACAGCCTGAGGGTGCCTGTGGTAGGAAACCCTAAGTGGAACCAGTAGAACTGCCTTCGCCACCAAATCAAGAACTCAGAGGTGACTCGAGATGGACGCAGCCTCGAGGATTGGAGAGATGTCGAGTACTGACTTCTACGTGCTCCCTTCACCTGGCCTTGGCCCTTGCCGAAGAAAAATGGACTTGACCAACGTGAAGTGACAGTGAGAACGGAATGCCCCGCGAGGTCCCGGGTGCTCCGGGCACAGCAGGGAGAGCGCAGAGCCAGGCTTGGCCAGGGATCGCTGGGGGCTTTCCACAGGGGTGACTGTCACGCTCGTGGTGTGGACTCGAGTTACTAAGGACAGTGCCGGGACATGGTGCCATGATGAAGGCGTGAGGAATCGCTCCCTGAGCTCGGGCATGGTGCAGAAGCCAGACTGCAGAGGGGAGAAGTGACGAGAATTTAAAAAATTGTGACAGTGGTCGGCCCATGGCATGGTGGTTGGGGCAGCTGGACCCACGTGGCTGAGTGCGTGGTTCAAGTCCCAGAATAGGCAGCTCGAAAAACACACCAGGCGTGTGTGCATGCCTGAAACACCCGAAAGGAGGGAGAGATGAAGAGAAGGGATTGCGGCATGACCATGCCTCAGGGGGACTGCGTTCTCGTCCTCTCTCTCTCAAGTGCATGCACCCCTTTTTGTTTCTAAAACAGAAAGAAACAAAAAGCAGTGGCAGTGAGTTATTAATATAGAATTTGCCCCCCCCACACACACACAGCTGGGTGTGAACAGAGAGGAGCCCTGAGGTGCCAGCAGAGTGGGGCTTTAAAGACGGTGAGACTCAGGCTCTTTGGTGTGAAATGAGGGGAGAAAATCGAAGAGAGGGACACAAAAGATGCCAGAGGGTGGGTAAGGGCTAAGGGACAGAGCTGTGGCAGGGAGGGTGACAGCGACCTCTGAGAAGTTCTGTGCTGCCTCCTAGAGAAGGAGCAGACCAGTGGGGAGGTGGAAGGCAGCGGAATTTCCCACCCGGTGGCTTGTCTGGGTCGGATGTGGAGGCCAAGGGAAGTGAGTGGAGATGGCAGAGAGGAGGCGAGACAGCAGCCCACAGCCAGGGGTTGCTCTGCAGTGCGAGGACCCAGATTCTAATAGAGAAAGTGTACACACACCCACATGTACCAACACCCACACCAACACACACATGTACAAACACTCACACCAACACACACATGTACCAACACACCAACACATGCATGTACCAACACCCACACCAACACACACATGTACCAACATTCACACCAACACCCACACACCAAACACATACCACACAC